AATAATGGGCTTAAAATCACAGCTCTCCACTTAATCGTAGAAAATACTGTATCTCAGTTTCTACATGGGGTAATCACAGTACTTGCTTAATAGTGTTATGAACTGCAAATGAATTTAGAGGAGACTTAGTGTTACAGTATGAAACTTCGTCTCAAAAACAAAGTACAGTGAGGAATTACGAATAATAAGTGTGTTTTTGTTTTTCTTTTTAGAGTTATGAAGTTATAGAACTAACCAAAGACCTTCTGTCAACTCAACCTTCTGAGACGCTTGCAAGTTCAGACAGTTTTGCTTCTACTCAACCTACTCATTCATGGAAAGTAGGAGACAAGTGTATGGCAATCTGGAGTGAAGATGGACAGTAAGTGTAGAAAAAAAAACCCTAACTGTAACATGAAATAATAAAATACAATGGTAAGAAGTTTTTATTCAGTTTTAACTACCCTATTTTAATCTTTACTTCTATTAGGCAGTATGATTCATAGAGCCAATTTGATTCTTGGGTGGTTGCCATTAATACAGTTTAGTTTTAGCTTTAGATTAAGTTTCGGGGATAAGAATGACTTGGATTCTAGAGGAAGGAAAAACGGGACAGTGAATGGGTGTTTTCTAAAATAATCTAAATTCTTTTCTCCTCAAATTGAAAATTGAGTGAACGGCTGGTTTTTCTGAGAATTCTGTGAAGAGCATACACTGAAATCATTCTTATAAGAAATACAGGCCGGGCGCGGTGGCTCAAGCCTGTAATCCCAGCACTTTGGGAGGCCGAGACGGGCGGATCACGAGGTCAGGAGATCGAGACCATCCTGGCTAACCCGGTGAAACCCCGTCTCTACTAAAAAATACAAAAAACTAGCCGGGCGAGGTGGCGGGCGCCTGTAGTCCCAGCTACTCGGGAGGCTGAGGCAGGAGAATGGCGTGAACCCGGGAGGCGGAGCTTGCAGTGAGCTGAGATCCGGCCACTGCACTCCAGCCTGGGCGACAGAGTGAGACTCCGTCTCAAAAAAAAAAAAAAAAAAAAAAAAATACCTTTTCGCTGGGTGTGGTGGCTCATGCCTGTAATCCCAGCACTTTGGGAGGCTGAGGTGGGTGGATCGCTTGAGATCAGGAGTTAGAGAGCTGCCTGACCAACATGGTGAAACCCCATCTCTACTAAAAATACAAAAATCAGCCAGGTGTAGTGGTGTGTGCCTGTAATCCCAGCTACTTGGGAGGCTGAGGCATGAGAATTGTTTGAACCTGGGAGGCGGAGGTTGAAGTGAGCCAAGATTGCAATACTGCATTCCAGTCTGGGTGACAGTGAGACTCTGTCGCAAAAAAGAAAAGAAACCTCTTTTCTCAAAGACATTAAAGCACGTTGGGTAGATACATGCAAGAGACTTTCCCAGCAATATTTTGATTAGGATGTCTTTTTTTTTTTTTTTTTTGGATAAAATACAACTAACTTCAACCACTCTTTTGTATTCTCTTTGCTAAAATAACCATTTGATTATAGAAGTTTCATTATAGACACATGTAATAATTGTATCACTACAGTATAAGTCTTGTAGGCTGAGTACTAAACCTTTACTCACCTGCTTACAGCCATGATATCTTTACAGGTGTTATGAAGCGGAGATTGAAGAGATAGATGAAGAAAATGGCACCGCTGCAATCACCTTTGCTGGTTATGGCAATGCTGAAGTGACTCCACTGTTGAACCTCAAGCCTGTAGAAGAAGGAAGGAAAGCAAAGGAGGACAGTGGCAACAAACCCATGTCAAAGTAAGTGACTTTGACTTTCCATTTTAGGTGTAGTCTTCCCCACTTGGATACTTGAAGTAGTCTGCAGAGAGAATCTATGCATAAGAAAGTTATAATACTGTTTCACTGTTGTTTTGAAGATTAGCAACAAAGGGTCAACATTGTCTGTATAAATGTGCCTGTGAAGATAATTTTGATTCCCATTTAGGCATTCAGTAAATATTAAGAAGATACTATGTACAATGAACATCTTCCCAGCATATTTTATAAGCCAGGTGCTGGGGCTACACCACAGGAGACCACCTTGCGCCTTGTCCCAACTGAGTTTATATTTAGAGAAGAAAACTCATCATTAATGAAGTGCTTTAATAATAGAGTGTAAACATTACAAAGGGGCTATAACAGATACTGTAAGGGAACAAGAGGTACTCAGCCTACACTTTTATTAGGGCAGATTTTTTTGAGAAAACGACATCTAAACTGAGATTTGAAAAGAATAAGAGATAACCAAGTACAAAGCTACAAGGTGATATGACTTTGATCTAGGATTGAATTTTTTGTTATTAATGAGCACTATGACCTTGGATAAGCTGTTTAACTCTGTTTCCTCGTCTGTAAGATAGGGGCCGTACATTATTGGGTGTGAGGATTCAAATGATAAGTGTTAGTAAAGCTTGTAACAGTTCTTTACATGTAGTAGTAAGAGCTTAGTAAGTTTTAAAGAGGGGGTGAGCATGTAAAAGTAACAAATCCCTGTGGTAGAAACTTGGGACTTGGAAAGTGGGTGGTCTGAGAAGAGATTAGAGTGGTAAAGTCCAGAACATAAAGAGCTTTAAGCCACTGATAATATTTTAAGTAGAGGGGATATGATGTGATCACATTTGAGCTTTAGAATGATCACTGTCAGTAGGGAGAGGCAACTACTGCTGTGATCCAGGTATAAGATGATGGCCTGAACCCAGGGAGTAGCAATGGGAATGGGGAACTATGCAGTTTTGAAAAGTAAGAGGCAGAATTAACAATATTTTGGTGAACTTCTGCGTATTTGCCACAACTTAGTCTTTTGATTTGTCAAGAGTTTTCAAAACTTTAGTTGCTACATATTTTTATTGGAATATGCAAAAATTATATATTAACCTAAGCATCCCAATAAAATCCAATTCTAGAACAATTGAGTGTGTGTGTGTGTTTATATATATATATATTTTTTATGTCTTTGTCATCTGTGTAAAAAGCCATAGCTTTATGGTGGTAATATGGTACCAGGGAGTCTAGATAATGCCCCTCTTAAAGATCTTTTTTTTTGAGACGGAGTCTTGCTTTGTCCCCCAGGCTGGAGTGCAGTGGCCGGATCTCAGCTCACTGCAAGCTCCGCCTCCCGGGTTTACGCCATTCTCCTGCCTCAGCCTCCCAAGTAGCTGGGACTGCAGGCGCCCACCACCGCGCCTGGCTAGTTTTTTGTATTTTTTAGTAGAGACGGGGTTTCATCGTGTTAGCCAGGATGGTCTCGATCTCCTGACCTCGGGATCCGCCTGTCTCGGCCTCCCAAAGTGCTGGGATTACAGGCTTGAGCCACTGCGCCCAGCCTAAAGATCTTTTTTTCATCCTTTTGGTGAGAAGTCAGTGTTAACTGAGCAGAAATTATTGGGGGTTATAGGCTCTGATCCTATTTAGAATCTTATTTAGAATGTTTTTGAAACCCCCAGGTGTTTTGTTTTGATGAGAATTGTTAGCTATGATTTCCCTTTGTGCTGCTGCATTCTTCCAATGTAGATAAAATATTTTATCTGCACTGAATCTCTTCATACATTTTTTTCTAAATGCCATACTTGTTAACTGTGTCTGTTTGGAAGTAGATGAAGGCTTAGATACCCATTAATACTGAAACTCAACTTATTCCTAAAGCAACTGGCAACAGCTATACAAAAGTAAAATAGAAAGTCATAGTTGAGGCTGGGCACAGTGGCTCATGCCTGTAATCCCAACACTTTGGGAGCCCAAGGCAGGTGGATCACTTGAGGCCAGGAGTTCAAGACTATCCTGGCCAACATGGCAAAAACCCATCTCTACTAAAAATACAAAAGTTAGCTGGGCATGGTGGCACACGCCTATAGTCCCAGCTACTAGGGAGGGTGAGGCACAAGAATCTCTCGAACCCAGGAGGTGAAGGTTGCAGTGAGCCGAGAGTGCCACTGTACTCCAACTCCAGTCTGGATGACAGAACAAGACTCTAACGCAAAATAAAAAGATTAAAAAATTATAGTTGGAATGTTTACTTTATATGGGTAAATAGATTATACTTATGTTTGAAAGCTCCCAAGGATGTTATTTAAAAAAAAAAAAAAATTGCTTAGTAATTCTGGGTGATTGGTACTGATTTTAATGAGTTAGTACTTTTTATTCATAGACCATTGTATATGTTTGTGGTTTTTTTTTTTTTTTTGGCACTGCCGGTGTCTTCAAGGAAGTCATTCTTGTATAATAAGTCTCAACAGTTGACATTTAACTTTTTTTTCATGCAGAAAAGAAATGATTGCCCAGCAGCGTGAATATAAAAAGAAGAAAGCTTTGAAAAAAGCTCAGAGAATAAAAGAACTTGAGCAAGAAAGAGAGGACCAGAAAGTGAAATGGCAACAATTCAACAACAGAGCCTATTCCAAAAACAAAAAAGGCCAGGTTGGTAAATCTTTTTATGACACTTTGTAAATTTGAGAAATGTGGCTTATTAACTTTAAAATGAAAAGAGAAGTATGTAGATTTTTTTAAAGTATGATTAACTCAGATTTTGCATTCAGAATCCTTGTTGATGCTCAATTTAGCTTATTGAAAAATGTTAGCCATCGTCTCTGCATAAAAATATTACAAATGAGAGAATTTATATCAGGAATTACAAAAGGTCTATGTTCTTTTCCTTTAATAAACTAATATTTGAAAAAATGGTTGCTACTTGGAGGCAGTGTGCTTAACTCTACCTGCTTTGTTAACATGCCTTCATGCTGGGCATTAGGGGGTAGACTTTATTTAAAAGTACATTCAGTTTCCCTTGATACACTTATCTGAGTGTGTGTTGGGTAGAAAAAAACTGTAGCATTCATATAGGAAGTAGAGAATAAGGATAGCCTGACTTTCACCCATGTATTACTCGTCACTCCCATCAAGGTAGCCCTTCCATTGATGGACATGGCTTCTGGAAAGATGTTTATTTTGTGACAAAGGCTAAGGGACTTCACAATTTAGATATCATAACAGGCCCCACAGTAAACCGCAATATAGCCAGAGCTTTAATCATGCTAAAATGGCTCGCTCACAGCTGAAGTTAGGATTTGAGTTTTCAAAACTAAAATTTTGAGGTATCAGAAAGCAAGTGTTATGAGTATTAGTGTCTAATGATATTTTCCTCAACTTAGAAGTTAGAGTAAATGGCTTCCAGCATGGGACCACTTCTGTACCCATTTTTTAACACTGAACAAAGGCAATATGCTTTTCTTCTTTTAAACATTAAAACCAGAATATATTTTAACATTACTTAAAATTTGAAATTTTTTATTTTTTCCAATACTAATAGGAATGGTTTCTGTTTTCTTTCCCCTAGGTAAAGAGGAGTATTTTTGCTTCACCTGAGAGTGTGACTGGCAAAGTTGGAGTAGGAACTTGTGGAATTGCCGATAAACCTATGACACAATATCAAGATACCTCTGTATATAATGTCAGGCATTTGATGCCTCAATAATCAGAAAAACTGTTGGATTTCATCTCTGCAGGGCTTTACATTTACCTTTTTATCCTTATATTTTTCTAAAGGTAAATTATTTGTTAAGATGAGTAAGCAAGATACCATTGTCGTCATTGGTTGACTTCAGTAGAATGAAACGTGAAGAAATTGCATTTGAAAACTGCTATTTGTTTAACTTTTCTCATTATCAGTACCACGGTTCCCTCAAAGTTTGTTGAATAAAGCAACTTTTGTAGATGCTGTTTCATACAGCACTTAGATGAATTATTGATCTTCCTAATATCAGGCGCCTACTTAACCTATGGTATGTACTTTTTGTAAGTTGTAACTTGAAATTTTCAGATGCTTTGAACTTGACACATATTCTGGCAATTCATTGGAACACCAAGGCAAAAACACCAACCTGCTAAAGAGATCCTTTCATTTTTCTTATTTTCAACTTTAAAACTTAGCTGTCGTTCAGTTAAGCCTAAAGATAGGTTAATTTGTAAATGGCAAAGTTTGTTTTGAGGTTTTTCCTCAAAAACTTGTATCCTAGGCCTATTAGGCCATCTCTAAAATTGATGTGTTTTATTTTTATGTACTCTTAGTTCTATGTAAGAAACCTTAGGATGAGCTCCCTTTTCTAAGGTGTTTTTGTTTTTTGTATGTTTGCTTTTTTCCTGTTTTTTGTTTTTTTCATTTACGGCAGTGGTACCATGTTTTGGATGTGTAATGTTTATATGGGAGAACAAAAAGCTGATGTATAGCCCTGTATACAGTGTAGATACTATTTTTGTAAAAACACAAGGCTAAATTAATGAACAAGAGTACTGAATGTTTCATCATTAAAAATTTCTTGTATTTCTTGTGCATTAATCTGACCATAATTTCCCTGTATATTATGTTCATTTAGCTGTTTGTAATTTTTGTTAATTAGATCAAGTTGTCTGCATTTGTTGGTGTAAATGAACATCACAGTTATCCTGAGTTGAGTTTAAGCCAAATACATGCATAGAAAAGGGTCTTCCTGTTAATGGAAGAAGGTAATTTTTAGGATGTGTATTATTTCAGTTTTGTATGTTTAACTTTTATTAAATAAAGTGTTTTTAAAATCTCCAGGGTGTGTTAACAAAAGGGTAAGCTCTTTAGCTGTCAGCACTTAACAGTGATTAAACTTGCACACAGCATTGCCATGGAAGAGAATATTGAGTGTGAGAGGAAGGTTTCAGTAAATCCTTAAGTATTCCTTCCATTAGAAGAAATTGGATCTTAAAGGGCAAACTAGGCATGTGTTTATAGGATGTTCTCATTTTAATGGGTGTTTGTAGATTTTTGGAGGAAAGGGAAAATAAATTTTTATTTCATGAATTTTAACTTTTTTTATAAATTGAAACTTAGGACAGTGTTAGGTAGAATTCTTCATCTCTCCCTTCCACCCCCAACCCCTCTCAACCCAGGAGGGTCACTTTTTCTTCATATAATTCGTGGCCACAGGGTAGGACAGAAAGGCACAAATTGCAGTAGAAAAAGGGCTCTTTGAAGCCTGTAAACTTCTAAATAAAATAAAGTTTCTTATTGTAACATCTTAAGAGCTTATCAATAATCAAGAGTGGCCTTGATGGACTGCAAGAGAATCCTTTGAATTAAAAGCAATGGGAAGAAATTTGGTGTCATTGTGACCCCAGAAAATGGTTGTTGAGATTACCTTGGTGGTGGTAGAATAGTAATTCACCTGATGTTTGTGTAGGCAGGACTGTTAACAGTCTTGTCCCTCTTTTGACCCTGAGGGCCTTAGTTTTCCCAGAGGACTTTGCAGTAGGAGAGAGAAAAGGAATAAAAGTGACCTTATCAAAAAAAAAAAAAAAAATCCATTTTGAAAATAGACCTTTAGAATGAAATCAGCAACCATTGTGTCAAAGATCTAGATGTGGCCCTTTGGAAAATCCTAGTGTCAGGATGATGATTGTGTCTCTGAACTAAGGCAGGACTCCTGGGGAGACTACCTGTCAGTGTGATACTGAATTTGAGAAGACACTCAATGAGAAGCATGATACCAACAGTATTTTACAATTGAAGGTGGTTAAGCTCTCTATTCTAAAACGAAATATAAACGTTGACCTTAAAAAGCTTTGTTAGAAAATTTAATGCGGAGTTTTCCCCATTAAGAAAGGAGACTTGAAGCTTTGAAACTGTGACAGACTGAAATGTTAAATACGGAGTTATGGGCCCCTAAGTAGAAATGGTTGCATGTAACTTACCAAAGCTTGACATTTGACTGTTGTTACCATTTCAAGGAAAGAACAGTTCTAACCTCCCGGAAATTAATAACCAAAATGTTTAGTTTTAGTAGTAATCACAGGTAACAAGTGCTATTTTAATTAACATGTAGGGAGGCCACAGAGCATATTGGAAAACAGCAAGGACTGTAGAACCAGACAAGTGTTTATTACCATTTATTACCTGTGTATTCCCATTTATTACTTGTGTATTCCTCTGACTCATTTTTCTCAGCTGTAGAATGGAAAAATCTGTTGTAGTTTTAAGGATTGAGTTCAAATGTGTAAACAGCTTGAGTGTCTGGCATAAGCACTATAGAAGTGTCTGCTATTACTCTGCAGAGTGGCAATGGTGAATTATCTGGTATTTTTTCTGTAACTTCAACAGCAATCCACATTACAATGGATAACAATACCCATTGTTTATGATTTGAGGCATCCAATTATAACCATTATTGAAGTGTTACCAAATTACCAAGGTTGTAAGATATATTTAATATTCCTAGTTAAATGTTTGAACTAATTTGTATACTAGGGCATGTTTTCTTAATGAGAAGGGGGTGAAGGTTATAATAAAAGTCACCCCTAATGCTTGTTTAAAATTAAAGAGGAATTTGTGGACCTGGGACCAACCTTAGACTTATCCAGGCCAAGGTATGTCTGTCTGACGAACACCACAGGTGATCCTGATGTGCAGCCCTGTCTGAGAACTGTTTTGTTAACTATAAAGATTTGACTTTTGAAATTAAGAAAAATTACCTTTTAGCCTAATCATGAAGACTAGGCATCAAACCAAAACAAGATGCATCAGTTATTGTAGCAACACACATTTTTTTTAAAAAAATTGCTTGTTGTCACATTGAAGGGTGTGTATGTTTCCAGTATGCAATTCTAATTCTGAATGTCTCCCTTAAAAATAGCAAAGGAGACCATCAGGTTAACATAAAGGAAAATTGTAGTTTTGTGACTCTTGTGTGTCTAGTTATAATTTTATAATTACAATTTTTATAAGATTAAAACTACTGGTTGTAAATTCAACCAAAAAAAAAAAAACATTTAAAGCTTTGATATAGCTTTTTGCTTTAACTTGGGTAGTAATTGAAAATATAAAGGAAGAAAATCTATTAAAACCAATGAGGTTTTATATTTGTTAAAATCTTGATTCGATAAATATCAGCTGAATTAAGTATTTGTATGGTACTACGAAGCAATCAATTAGTATAAATGGCAGTTTACAAGTTCAACAGTAAATGTAAACATTCTTTGTATCTAGGATTTTTGAGTTGCAAGTTAAACTGAATTTTTACTGCAGTGGAGAGGAAGAGCATAGCAGGCAAAATAACAGGTAATATTGTATTTTAAACAGAAAAACCCAAGTAATTGGCGCCCTTTACCCGATCATCGTTTAAAAGGCCTATATATGTGTATAGTTAGGTTCTTAAGAAACATCTTAAGAGGTTCAGAAATCAATTTTATAGTTGGAACATTTTAATCATTTGTTTTGGCCTAGCCAAACTAAATAAAACAAAACAAAATGGTGTTAGATTTCTGTGAGGTGTTTTAATTGCCTTTTAACTTACGTATATAAAGGTGGTTCTTTTGTGGCCTTGACTGGGGTAAAGCAGAACTGAGAATAAAGGGTTTGTGGTAGTTGACAGCTGAACTAGCTAAACATACGAAGTTTTGGATATTTAATTAATCTTTCAGTTCCCAGGCAATAAAAACTGGAAACTTAGTTCCACCACACACCTTACCAGTTATTTAAAACAAAACCAGTATAGTCACTGGAATTATTTAAACTGTAATGTTTCTCCACTTAGTCTTTTTTTTAAGAATACATCTGAAAGAGCCACGGTGATACTAGGAGAGAAAGCTGGCATTTTGTTTGAAGAGCTACTTTCTCAACTTGGGGCTGAAAGTTAAGGTGGTGGTGGTTTTGCTGGCTCAGGGTTTTCCCTTTCTTGGTAAAACTGATGTGCTTTTGTTTTTTCCCCTTTCAAGCCCTGTACTTACTTTAGCAAGATGCAGTGAATTTCTGACCAGAGAAACAAAGAATTCAGGCTTGGAGGAAACACTTGACTCCATATCCTGGGAAACTAGAGTTGAAGCCTGAGATCTGAAGCTAGGCTAGTAATCACTTTAATAGATGGTAACTGTCCAAATGTTCATTGCTCAGAAGTAGCAGGAAGGAGTAAGTATCCCTTTTATTCTTTTGCCTGGAGTTTTTCCTTCCAAAATCACCCTCAGGTTTAGTTGACCTAGGTTTCTAAGTGTGATGAAGCTACTAATTTAGAAATGACTGATGATCTTAAATTTATACTCTTCTTATAAATTTTAGAGGTACTTTTATAGGTTTTGTTATATTTTTACAGTGCTATTCTGTGCCCTGGTGTGAGCATCTAAAATAAGTATCTCAATTATTACTCTACCAATAAAGATTTTTAAAGCATTCCCCATGGCAAAGAGCTATGAGCTTGAGGATATGGAAAAAATTCCAGAACTACAGTAAGTTAGTTGACAGTATCTTAAAAGAACTTCATTTGAAGCCATTTTCTCTAATTTATGACCATAGAAAGGTAAAACAGAACAGGAAGTGATCAGCCAGTACATTTATTTTGAACTACGCTGCCTATTTAAAACAATCTGACATATTCTACAAGAAAACCAGTTTCCTATTAGATCTGATACATAGGAAAGGATATAACTGCTGTTTCTCTTTCTTGGCAAAGTCAACACTAAATATTAACCTAGGGCACAGTACTATCAGCATACAATATGTTCAACTTGAGGTTAGTCCTTTTTTTTTTTTTTTAAGAACAAATAATCACTAAAACTGATGCTACATTATATAAAGCCTTCATTTAAGAAATTCTGTAGGAGGCTGGGTGCACTGGCTCACACCGGTAATCTCAGCACTTTGGGAGGCCAAGGTGGGCAGAACATACAAGGCCAGGAGTTTGAGACCAGCCTGGCCAACATAGTGAAATGCCCTCTCTACTAAAAAATACAATAATTAGCCGGGTGTGGTGCCACATGCCATAGTCCCAGCTACTCAGGAGGCTGAGGCAGGAGAATTGCTTGAACCCAAGAGGTAGAGGTTGCAGTGAGCCGAGGTCGTGCCACTGCACTACAGCCTGCGTGACAGAAATTCTATAGGAAATAACAAATGACTTCTTTATTAAAGTATTACCTACCATGGAATTTTGCTTAAGTGAACTAATATTTAGAAACAGTCTTTTTCTGCAAGATCTAGTCAGAGTAACTAAAATTCAGGATTAAGGATGCGTTAGAAGGTTGCATTCAACAGAGAAACTAGAGAAACACACACCTTTTAATTTCCTACATCTTCCTAGATGGCAGTCGGGGAGTGGGGTGGTTAAGTTCAACCTTTCAAGATAGAGGTAGTACTTATAGTAGCTTTTCAGGAGGAAAAAGGTTCCATGAAGAAATTAAGTAACAACCAGGGTCAGCAAATGTTGGAACTGGGATTAAAGTATAATTAAAACACTTGCTTTTCCCACATTTTACTGTTTTGGGTTAACTGTTGGGAACCTGATTTTGGTCAGGAACTTTGCCTCAATAATTCTCACTGCCTCTTAAAATTCCTTTGTAACGCTAAAAGTAGTCATTGTCGGGGAGATTAGAAAGGTATGAAAATAGGAGTTTTCATACCTATTCTAACCAGAAACTTGAGTTGCCATGACTTCAGAATCCTCTAGTCATAATGCACTATAGGTTTTACCTGTACCTCTTTGAGACAGTGTCTTGCTCTGTTGCCCAGGCTGGACTGCAGTGGCTCAATCTCAGTTCACTGCAACCTCTGCCTCCCGGATTCAAGTGATTCTCCTGCCTCAGCCTCCTGAGTAGCTGGGACTATAGGCGCATGCCACCACGCTCAGCTAATTTTTCATAGGTTTTTTTTTAGTGGGCAATGGAATTTCATCATGTTGGCCAGGATGGTTTCAAACTCCTGAACTCAAGTGATCTGCCCACCTCTGCCTTCCAAAGTGCTGGGATTACAGGTGTGAGCCATTGCGCCTGGCCTACCTGTACCTTTTAATACAAATGTCACTCAGGTGTTTTATAAATAGGGTACCCTAAATAAGGTTAGTGAAGACTAAGGTTAGTGGAACTTCCAGACTTGTTTGCAATTTGAGTAATAGCGTAGCTAAAGGGATGCTCCCAAGTTATTTAGAGAACAGATCATGACAATGGCTTTGTGTCCTACCTGAAGCAGTTAAGATTATTATTAGTATGGCACATTAAACCACATGCAGTTAGGTTATATGGAGTTATAAGTCAGGCTCCTGTTGAAATTGCAGAACAGGAATGGCAATTATAATTCAAACTGCTATTCGATTTGGCATTGATACTGATTTGGTAACAAAATAGACATTTAGGAGATAGTTAACTCTTTAGGTGTGGATACCTATTCATGTTTTTGCCTTCATAAAGAAGGATGGTACAAAAAGAACTCGGGTATTCTTCGTTCACAGTTTTTATTTCTTCCAATTAACTTTTGTGTCTTCAAAGTTGATTTGTCTTTTAAAAAATTAATACTTCTTACTCGTCATACAATCTACACCACCCCAAAGAAAACAAACCCAGGGAAGGAATAATTTAGGGGGCAGTTAAAGTGTGCACTATAGGTTTATAACAAATGCTTTCCAGCCCATAATCCTGTACATATACAACGAAATGGCAGCACCTCAAGTTCTTCTGAATGAAGGCCCAAATAATGCCCTAGGGCAAATAATGCAAGCGAAGGCCATGAGAATAATAAAACAGAAGCTTAGTCACTGGCTTCATTCAATTTCCATGGTAGCACACTCTTCAAACTGTCTCACACTTGGTCAAGAGTAAGCAAATATAGAGGCAACATCTTCACTCAGCCAGTAGTAATTATAAGTGAAAGCAGAAATAATTTACCTGGGCCACAAAAATGAATTGTTTTGTCATGTTTTTCATTAAGTCCCTAGCACCTGAAACGTAGCAAATTCTGATACTGGGCTTCTAAAGGCATGCAGTTTTTCACTCACATCTACTTCAAAGAATTTCTTCCACTCAAACATAGCACAATCAAGGAAAAACTTCCAGAGGCACATGAAGAGCACAAGAACAAGTATATGTTGAGGCGTAACATATGACCAAGATGGTACACTATACATAGAAGCAGTGAATGCTGTTAAAGTGCCACTTACAAAGGGATAGTCTAACATTAACACACAACTCAACTGCACTGCTAAATATGGTTGTCTTTATTTTCTTTTTCCTTGCCCAGCCCTATCTAAACATAAAATAAAACTACAGGACTGAAATTAACAATCCATTAAAATCAGCAATAAGTTATGAAAATCATAAAGCTTTTTTTTTTTTTTTAAGTAATTAAGGGTAGTTAAATTATTTAAAGTATACAAAGTCCAAACAGCCAGGCGTAAGGTCTCCAAGAGGCCTTCCCAGGGTAAGAGAGAGGGCCACAGGGGAACCTTGGAGTTTGAAAGACAAAGGGAACACATGACATCAAAGTGCAGGCTAGAAATTTCACTTAGAAGAAAATAACATTACTGAAAATATTCGTAAGAGTACCAATAGCACCTGCACAGTGGGACTGTGAGGAAGAGAGAGACTGCCTGTAGGAAAATGGAAGCAAATCTTTACATTAAAATGAGACAAGTGCTGAACTTAACTATGTTAACTATGATAGTGTGTCTACAATAGATATCAGATGGTTAAAAGCTGGTAAAAGGTAATGATTCTAAAAACAAAAATAGCATTGACCTTTTTTCTACCTAGCCCAGACCTCATTCATTTTGTGCACTATAAAGAGTGAGGTGTGAGGTGTTTTATCATTATCAAATGCTGCATCAAAATAGATGATTTTTTTCCCCATGTGTTTTTCCACTATAAAAGACATCTATGTTTTTTTTATGGATAAGCTTTAAAAAGATGTCATTTTGGTTTTCAACACATATAAACAGTTATCAAAATCTGAAATAAAAATGCTGCTGTGGCTCAGACCTTGGCCTGCTAGTCTGCGTGCACAACTCTTCTGACCCACGCAGACACAGAGGCACGTGGAGCTTTTTCCTTCTGGCCCCCCAATCCATACTCATAGGCCTTGTAGGATAGAGGCTGTCATGCATGAACTGCTCCCATGTGGCCTAAGGGCAGCAGGATGGAGAGCTGGCAGTTGGGTGCCCTAGTGCTAACAATGCAGGATAAGGTTAGCTTGCTTAGCATGGAATCCAACAGAAAGCTGAGCTGCATGATGATCCCTTTCAAAAGGCTTCATGGGAGTCTCTCCTTTTGCAGAGCATGAAATGAGCTTTTTTAAAAAAATAATAATAAAGGATTGATCATCCACAGGCTTCATGATAAACTGTCCCAGGCTGAGTTTTAATAGCTCATTAGCTATCCAAGATTAATACCTGATTTTCTTGTCTTTTCATTTGAATACTTTTTATTTCGCTTTTAGGACCATAAAGCTCAGGAAGGGTTCATAACCCCATCCTTAAATGTGTCTACTCAATGTAGTATGAGCAAACTAGAAAAGCGAAAGAGGATGGCATCTCCAATGTCCTCTTTTCAATCAACTCAAATCAAGAAAATTTCACACAAGTTTTCTGCTGCCATTAAAAATTATGATTTTTCCAATATGAATATTCTGAATATTTGTTCTCCTTGGGAGACTCTGCCCCACTTTTTGCTAAGTATTTGCTTAAATACAGGTCCTCTGACCCTTTTGTTCAAGTATAGTTTAGTTTTAAAGAGGAGACTGCATCATGAACCCAATTTAAGAGATTGTTTGTATTGAATTGGCCCAGTGAATATTTTGCCCTGCACTGTTATGTCATGCTGGGTTCTATGAAGTGAATGAAAGTTTGACACTGGCACTGGAGTAACCCTCATCACTCCCAATACTCGGCAGGCTGCTGTGGTCATCAATGTCACTGATGCTGGTGGTACTTATATTGTCCACTTCTCCATGGGAGAACTCTGTGCTTTCAACATCCACTTCAATCTCCTCTGCCAAAGGAAAAAAAAAAAGAACATTAATAATCAAGTATAGCACACCTTCAAAAACTAACGGCATGAGGAAAAGAGGTATAAGAAATGTTAATACAACAAGCTTATTATCAGTGATCCCTGGAGAACAGAGGAACTGAAGGTGAAGAGACAGGAATTTTTTTTTGCCAAGGGGAATGTCTGACATACAGTGGTGGTCTTAATTTAGGCAGCAAATTTACTAAATCCTTTGACGCCAGTTCGTCTGGACCTCCCACTAAAACCACTTGGCGTATTTGGGGATTAGTGCTTAATATTAAAAGGTCCTAACCCCCAAGTGGTTTAAAAACATCTGTTTTGCATTAAACCACAAACTAATTCTCAGTTCTGTTTATTAATCAGGGTTGCCTTAAATGGTGGGCAGGAGCATAAACTTAATATAGGCAAACTAGAAAATTTACCCATCCAGGCCTTTGGTGGTGCCATTCTACAGATAGTTCAACAGACTTCTAGGATTCATCATAAAGATCTTCAACTAGTCAGTCAAACAAGTCATAATAAAGTAGAGTTTGAGGGATATGTCTTAGATTTAATTTTCTTGCATCAAATATAGCTTGAAATAAGGGCCTGATACTTAAAAGTCTTCCGATTATAGTGAGATCCATTTTGGTGGTAGTATACAGACTTAAAAACTAAACATTAAAAAATAAATAAATAAATAAATATTTGACTCAGCTATCAATAGATAATGTTGCTGGATGCAGTGTCTGTAATCCCAGCACTCTGGGAGGCTAAGGCAGGAGGATCGCTTGAGCGCAGGAGTTTGAGACAAGCCTGGGTAACAAAGTGAGACCCCATTTCTACCAAAAAAAAAAAAAACCCCACAAAAATTAGCTGGGTACACTGGGTGAGCCAGTAGTTCCAGCTACTCGGGAGGCTAAGGTGAGAGGATCACTCTTGAGCCCAGGAAGTTGAGGCTGCAGTATGCCCACGTCTCATCACTGCACTTCAGCCTATGTGACAGAGTGAGACCCTGTCTCTTACAAATAAAACAAATCTTAATTGTTAAATACTAGATATTCAATCACCAATAATATACATAAAGCAATACACGTTAAAAACAAAAAGGAGTTAAAAAGTTGTTTTCTCCCATCAGAACTAGAGTGAACCCAGGATTTTTCAGTTACCTTAAAACAAATTCAAAGCCTGATGTTTCACATTTGGCACTGACTTTAAGGGGTCACACTAATCACAACTGCTTTAAAAAAAAAAAAGTGGATTCAGCCAGGTGCGGCCAGCACTTTGGGAGGCCGAGGGAGGTGGATCACGACATCAGGAGTTCAAGACCAGCCTGACCAACTTGGTGAAACCCTGTGTCTACTAAAAATACAAAAATTAGGCGGGCATGGTGGCACGCGCCTGTAATCTCAGCTACTTGGGAGGCTGACGCAGCAGAATCACTTGAACCTGGGAGGCAGACATTGCAGGGAGCCAAGATCGCGCCACTGCACTCCAGCCTGGGAGACACAGCGAGACTCTGTCTCAAAAGAAAAAAAAAAGTGGATTCTTGTGAGGCCAAAAGGACAGGGTGAAGCTATTTCCAGGAATATACTTTTCAAAAGGGCTTGTTGCTTCAAAAGTTTTAGAGATTCTAGAGCTGTGTTTTTAAAATGTAGGCAGCTATCCAAATAATCTATTAATTCATATATTTGCTCTATATCCATATTGCTTCAGAAACCATTTTTCCCCACACCACTGAACATTCATCCAACCTACAACTAGAAGATAATAACAAGGCACACTATTCAAAAGAGCATGCTGAACTCAGTCAAAACAAAGTAAAATGATGGCCAGCACAGCGGCTCACACCTGTAATCCCAGCACTTTGGGAGGCCAAGGCGGGAGAATTGCTTGAAGCCCAGGAGTTTGAGACCACTTGGGCAACAAGGCCTATCTCTATTTTAATAAAATTTAAAAATGTTTTAAAAATTAAAAAAAAAAAAAAAGAGAAACTGCTTTAGCCAAGTGTACCAGAGATGTTAACTAAAAGCCCCTGTAACACTACAAAAAGGAGGTTGCCAGCTCAGGATAAGGATGGTACTTGGTAAGGTACTACTAAAGTAAGGTACACTGGGAACACTAAAAAAAATATGAGAGCTATAGTGATGAAATACACCGTCCTCTCTGAAATTTGGAGGTAGTTGGGGTGGGTACAAGGAGGAGGTAACAGGAAGGACAGCTAAAACCTAAAGACCTAAGAAGAGGTTTCCACTAGTTAGCAATAGAGGAAAGACCAGGACACCAAGGTCTGGGTTATTTCTGCTATACCTAATTCAGGGTTATTTCTGCTATACTTCACTGTTATAAATGCAGCATGTCCTTCAGGTTCTTGCTACTGCCTCTAGTAGACTTTTCTTGAAAACTGAGTGCCACACAAAAATAAACTTTTACATAGAAAAATAACAGAACAGAAAAACAAGAACTCCTAGGGTTGTGTTAAAAAGGATGAAAAAACTATTTGAAAGGCTCCTACTCACCAAATCTGGGACAGTTTGAGCATTCAAAAGAATTTAAAAGGATGACTGCAATGGATTGGAACACATTCGGTACAGCAAAACGTGAGTTCATGATATAATCAAAAACCAGTAAAACCAAAACTTGTTACTTCTGGAAGTTGCTATGGTACCAGCTCTGTTTGGGAAACTGATAAAGCAAAAAACAAGACCAAGCATTTATCCCACCTTCCCTGTATGAACTTTATTTCAGGATAACGGAAAAGTTGAGAAAATGTTTATAGAAGAAAAACAGTTATTAATACATGAGGAATGACACAATTAGAAAACCACTATTTTATGACACCTCAATGAAATAAGGGCAAGAATTGCTAAAACTATTAAGTTAAAGGCTGATACATTTATATAAATGTATTAAAATGACCTTACCTGAACCTACTGATTAATATTAAAAGTGCGACAACTAGACACAATACTGACTTAACAGGAAGTACAAAGCACCACCTATGAAGTATTCTGCATCTACCAACTAGTTTACAGTAAACATAAAGGACATAACATATTAAATGACACCATGAGAATACAACCAGACAAATCTAGGATGTGGGAAATTCTATAAGAAAAATGACTCAGTCTCTTGATGTTTCAAAAAATATGTACATATATACACACACAGATCTATACCTATATATTCATTAATGTTTTCTCTGCCAAAGAAGTCTTTTTGAGATGTTGTATAGAAATCAGTTTTTGTTTCTACCAAAATGGTGTGGAACAGGAAAAATTATTATAGATTAATATCTTAAAAGGCACATCAAACAAATGCAATGTGGCCTTTGGATCCTGATTTAAACACACCAATGGTAAAATACCATTTTTGAGACAACTGGAGAAAATTTATCACAGACTGGATATTAGATGATATTAAATAAGATTATCTGATTTTATTAATTTTGTGGGGTATTATAATTGCATTATAATTACATTTTTTAAAATCCTATTTATTCAAGATACATACTGAAGTATTTAGGGGCAAAATGATGTTATCTGGGATTTGAGTTAAAGCATTCCAGAAAAAATACTGAGGGTGAGGGTAGTGAAAAACAGATGAAACAAGTTGACAGCTATTCAAACTGAATGGTGGGTATACAGGAGTTCATTATTCTATTCTAAGTATGTTTGAAAATTTCCACTTAAGAAAGTCAAAACCAAAAAACAAAATCAGAGTCCTAAAAACAAACAAAAAAACCCTGTCATTTGTCTCATGTTTTACAATCCTGAAGAGCTCATGAGCTCTTTTCTCCAAATGTAAGGCTTCAAATCACCAGTGTTCACCTCTGGGATCTTTTAATGTGATATGAAGCCTGATGTGGTGGGAGCTTTAGAAGAATGATCAGTAAAATTCAAACCATTCTTTTTTGGTTGACTTCTGTTCTTTAATTCTGTCAAAGACAAATATTCTAGCATAGATGGCAAGCGAAATAAAGGGTGTTGTACTTTAAAATCTACATATAAAAATTCACATCACCAGTAATAAAAACTTTGACATCATGTATCTTCCTGACACGGGCACATCATTATTATTTTTTTTTTTTTTGACGGAGTCTCGCTCTCGCCCAGGCTGGAGTGCAGTGGCATGATCTCGGCTCACTGCACGCTCTGCCTACCAGGTTCACGCTGTTCTCCTGCCTCAGCCTCCCAAGTAGCTGGGACTACAGGCGCCCGTCACCACACCCGTCTAATTTTTTGTATTTTTAGTAGAGACGGGTTTCACCGTGTTAGTCAGGATGGCCTCGATCTCCTGACCTCGTGATCCACCCACCTTGGCCTCCCAAAGTGCTGGGATTACAGGCGTGAGCCACCGGGCACAACATTGCTTCTGTGATATTCCTTACCCCAACTGTATACCCTCAATCTAATCATTTGAAAACATTAGACAAACCCATATTGAGGGACATTATATAATATATAATATAAATACATAAATATGAATATATATTTTTTTCAAGGAAAAAAAACCAAAAAGTTTAATAGCCCACACTGGCTCTGCCAGACAATATTATGATTGCATAAAACCTACAATGTTACACTGTTCCCTAAAAAGAAAGCAAATACAGTGCCTCCCAACATACCCTCCCTAAATCCAGATACAGAGATGTTTAGTATTTCATTAAAGAAGAGGCAAGTTGCCTACCTCGCTCTGAATCAGAACGATCTGAAGAAATAGTTGATCCAATGCTGTCCATTCGTATTCGTTCCATCTCCTGAGGACCCTGCAGCTGTTCCAGTCGCCACTTTAAAAATCTCTGTTCTCGTTCCAAATTCTCAAGCTGGTGCTGGCTCTTCCTTTCAGCTTCTTCAAGTTTCTGAAATGATGAAATGATTTTTACATTTGTGTATAGTCCAGTACAAACAAAAAAACTGATTCCTTCTTTGGCAGAGAAAACATGAATGAATATACACGTGTGTGTGTGTGTGTGTGTGTGTGTGTGTGTATAAAAATACATAAATACATTTTTAAAGCCTCCGAAATGAGAATGCATATAAATACATATTTTTAAAAATGAAAAATAGTTTTGTCTTTACTTTTGTGTGTATGTAATGAATGCTATGTTACTGAACAAGATGGACTTCTAAAAGTCTGTAATCTCCACAGAGAAACTTCCTCTGTAGTGTGGTATTTGATGGAAAAATACTGAAGGATGCAGCCAAATGAAGTCATCTCCACCAGAGGGCACAACTGCCTTCCTTCTGAGTATGAAGAGGGTAATTGTTATTTTCCTAGTGTTCCCAGCTCTTCAAATGGCCACACTGTCAAAACAATTTAGTTTAATCAGGTTATGTTGTTCCCATCAGATTAGCTGATAAGTTTTTAGAAAGACTTCTCTTGAGGTCAGTTACTAAGAAGGGCATGGTGAACTAGCTGATATATATGAAAAGGAATCAGTGCCAATAATTAAACCAGAACCGAGTGAATTGTGCAAATCTGAAAGTAAAAATTCTCACCTTAATGTGTGCTTTGGCTTTGTTGAGCAAACCAAGTGTTGTGTGCCTGGTGCAGTCTGGTCCTAGTGGAATCAGAACTTTTAAACGTTCTAAACAAAGGCGCAGATGAGCTCGTCTAAGAAAGACAAAAAGTCAAATCAGCACAGTCTGGATATTTCACTAGAAATATCATAAAATCTATTTTAAGATAAACAATAATTTGCATCTATTCAGCCCACAGGATAGATGTTACACCCCTAATTCTCCACTTTCAAAGAATGTAGGGGTGGCTGCATTTCAGTCTCTGCTATTTCTGTTGTACTCTTTAGACAACAGTCACTTTAGATTATTATCCCCAATGGTAATCTCTGTCAAGATGGTTTATTTTTTAACTCACCCCATAAACTGTCTCAACTGTATAATATGGAAGTGTGAAAATTGTATTTGATCTTGAATAACTAAAAGGACAATTGTATTTGATCTTGAATAACTAAAACCACAGGCGAGAGGAGAGGTTTTCAGCTGTGGTACCCCAAGGGAGTATAAAATGCTCACAAGTTTCTATTTCCTCCCTCCCATATTTTACTTGTTTGCACATGTGTGTGTGGGCATGCGCGCGCGCGCACACACACACACACACCCTACTTCTCTACAACTGTAGCCATCCTACAGTGTGTTACATGTTGTTATATATTAGTTTGAACCATATGAAATTTCTGATATTCAACCACTTTTCACTTATAAAAATGGTGATTTCTTATACTCCAATACAAAAGAAAAAGCAAAATTCTGTGACCAGCTAGGGTAGGATTAGACAAAATATATGTCCTGTGGTCAATTCTAGCCACAGAAATAACCCAGAAAATAACCCCCTGCTTCTTACCTAAGTGTGCTAGCTTGTTAGCTTAATTTTTTTTTATTTTTCTCTCTTCCTCTCTCTCACTACCTGCCTCCAATCCACAAGGACAACAGGTGACAAAAATTACTTACTGAAAGTCATTGCATTCTCTAATCTACCCTTTCTGTGGGAAAGTTGACGGAAATTTCTCCTAGAAATGATAGCAGAGAATCTCATGGATTTACCTTCCCTGTGCCCTAAAAGAACTATGATCATGGTGATGAGAGAGTTCTGAATATTTAACTTCATCCTAAAACAATACTAGTCCACATCTTTGGTCCTGTGTTTCATAAGGGATAAGGTAATCCAGCAGTTAACAGCATATCTGAAAAGAAAATCCACAAATATGTTCATAGTTTACCCCTCCTCCTTAAGGACCTATAATTGAACTTTCAGTAACTGTCTTAACTGCGTCAAGAACAAAACACATACCCTCCATTCTCTTCTGAAAGAGGACCAAAATGGTTTTGCTAATTCATACACCAAACTATGTGCTTTCTCTGTCTTAATAGACAAGAAATAATGTCAAGTGAAATTCTAAAAGGCTAGCAATTTGAAAGAGAGGTAGGAGAAGACAATAAGCAGCCAATTATGTCATGATAAACAAGGATGATTAAAGGTAATGAGGTCAGAGGTTTGGCTGATGAATTAAGATTCTTTTAGCACCTACTAACCTAACTATAGTTAAAGGTCTGATAGTATTTCCATTTCAAATTTCTTTATTGAGTTCAGTACCTCAAGTCTAATATTTGGGTCCAGGCTGAAACCTGACATAAGTGATGTGGATAAAGGAATCCCTAAATTAAAGGTGTATCAATGGATTCTCCTTAATGATATTTAACAACTTCAAAGTCACTTTCCTCCCCTACTATACTACTGAAATGCATGGAACCTTTAGCTAAATTTTTATTTTTAAGTGGAAAATTTCTTAGGTGAGGATTCCCATGTGACCACAGTACTCTTGCTCAGCAGACCAGAAAAAGCAAACAAACAGCGACAACAACAAAACACTGGAGTAAAAAGTGCCTTTAAACTCTTCATTAAGATTATTATGGCATATAACAACTGCACTCATATAATATGACTGGAGCGTGGAAACAGAGACTGGCAGCTACAATAGACATTCCAGCTTTAAATTCAGTCTTCTAAAAAACTCAACAAAGCAACTAGTAAAGTTAAGCACATTACCACAAGAATACCTTGTCAATTTTGTTCGAATTAACTCCAAAACTTCAGTATATGTAAGAATTATCTTGTATTTTTTAGTTTTTAAGAAACTTCAAAATGGGCTGGGCATGCTGGCTCACGCCTACAATCCTAGCACTCTGGGAGGCTGAGGTGGGCGGACTGTTGGAGGCCAAGAGTTCGAGACCAGCCTGGACAACACGGCAAAACCCCATCTCTACTAAAAACATAAAAGTCAGCCAGGTATGGTGGCGCATGCCTGTAATCCCAGCTACTCGGGAGGCTGAGGTACGACAATTGCTTGAAGCCAGGAGATGGAGGTTGCAGTGAGCCGAGATGGCGCCACTGCATTCTTCCTGGGCCACAGAGTGAAAGTCTGCCTCAGGAACAACAGGAGAGGGGAGGGGAGGGGAGGGGAGATCAAAATGATTCCGTAAACTTTCATATCAAGGAAAAGAAAGGTGGGTCTATTTTCCGTTTTGTGATACTTGCTAAAACCTAGAATGAAAATAACTTAACATATTAAAATTTTTTCTCTCTTTAATCATTCCATGTATTTATTACATGGATTTTACATACTCAGCACTGTTTCAGATACCTGCTTGAGAAAGAAAAGTAAAAAAGAAATGTTAACTTTAAGAGTTTACGTTCTAGACTACAGAAAGAAACATACTGTTTTGTATCATTTGGTCCACACTGAATGAGTCATACAGATATCAAGGACAACAGAATTTGAATAAATGGAGAGATTGTAATCAGAGGAGGTAGACTTGAAAAAGAGGTTGAAATTTGACTTTGGACTTGAAGAATATTGAATTTGTCTATGAAAAAGCAAGGATTCTCCAGGTAATTTAAAAAGTAAAGGACCTAAATTTATAAACTGGGAGCATGTTTAAACATAAAATTTTAAATGCCTTATTTTCTCTCCTTCAAGGGAAAACAACTGAGCTGGAATTCTATAAGGAAATAATCAGCTAGTTTCAGCTGTCTGAGGATCTGCAATGCACTGACAAATCAGGAGGTACCCAGACCAAAGTCTGAAAAATGCCTAAATGAACAGGGAAGGCAGAATGCTCTAAAAGATATTTTTTATTAGCCACTACTGAACATTTATTGTCAAATAATTATTCATCTGCTCTGAGATACAGCTTACACCAAGAAAATACACCCTGAGATCTCTCACAAGGGCAAGTGATGCCATTCTTCATATTTTGTAAATACAGTCCTCCAAAACTGATATTAATATGAAGGATGAACAGTGAATTATTTCCTCTGCTCTTGTGGAGAGAGGTGTACCTGTGGAAGATAAATGTCATTTCCTTAAGTTTTTGTATTTAAATGAAACAGGCATTTGGAGAGTAGAATAACAAATGGTTAATGGCAGCTGAACAGCAGCTGACCAAGAGGGAGAGTCCCATCCAAATAATACACACGGTTACCACATGTCCTTAGATGCCACTTAGGTAAATGTACCCTTCCAAGAGCAATGGATGCCCTGTAACTGTAAACTGGAAAGAGTTAAATCAGAAAAATCCATTCTCCTCAATGTGTAAGTTTTTTTCTCTCCTACAAATTCTTAGAACAGCAATTGTATGGCAAAATTATTCTTCCTTTTCATTGGTGCTGCTCTCCACCCTTTCCCCCATAAGTCTCCCTGTTGGTAACCAGATTGCGAGCTTAACCACCAGTGACCTAGAAAGGCATATCTTTTGATGCCATCTGGTCCTTTCTTTTCTTGCCTTCATTCTCATGTGACTGGTAGCTCAAGAGCCTCCTGTATGAGGTTGCCAAATCATGGATGCTGTAAGACTTCGAGGGAAGGAAAAAAGACAAGCAATAGAAGAAAATAGCTTGGTTTGATTTGAAAATCCTTATTCACGGGCTGGGTGCAGTGGCTCACGCCTGTAATCCCAGCACTTTGGGAGGCCCAGGCGGGCAGATCTTCTGAGGTCAGGAGTTCGAGACCAGTCTGGCCAACAAGGTGAAACCCCGACGCTACTAAAAATGCAAAAATTAGCCAGGCATGGTGGTCCATGCCTGTAATCTCAGCTACTCAGAAGGCTGAGGCAGGATAATTGCTTGAACCCGGGAGGTGGAGGGTGCAGTGAGCTGAGATCGCGCCACTGCACTCCAGCCTGGGTAACAGAGCAAGACTCCACCAAAAAAAAAAAAAAAAAAAATATTCCTTATTCACTGAGGAAAAAAATTGCAACTATCATATGATGATGTTTTTCAAGTCTCTAAGGGAGAGAAGAGCTGACACAGAGAATAAGGATTCATGAAAGGCATGGTCCTGCACCTCTAGTAAAAGAAGGGAAAGAAGGACGGGGAAAGTTAAGGCTGCTGTTCTGAATATTATGATGAACACTAGACAAACAGCAAGTAGAAAGAACCTGGTACTGAAACATTTATAGAACTAGATTTAATGGAAACTGATTTTTTAAAACATTTAGCTCCTTGGTAGACATTTACTTTACTTTTATTTAACATATACCTTTTTAAAAAAACATGAACAGCTAATAAAAACTGTAAAACTGAAACCTTTCCTATGTTAGCATGAGTTACAGTAAAACAAAGTTAGAATTAAAGTACTGCAGCAGGAAGTGCCCTGTGAGAAAACTGGAGTTGCCTTGCTGAGGGAGGGGATTGGAGAATGAAGAGTTCCCAAAGTACTTTTATTTTCAAAGACACTTTGAGTTCTGTTTTAAAATGAGATTTTAAAGTGGGTTTTGCCCAGGGGAAAAGGTAATTCCCAGCCACTAACCCTGTTAGAGAGAAGAGTCCTATCAAAATTAACCACACCTTCAAAAAAGGGCAAGCCCCTTGTGGGATAAAGAACAATTAGAGTCTGTTTGGCTTTTATTTTGGAAGACTGGGATCATTTTTCCCTGAAGGAACCAATGCTCCTTTTGATTTCAAACTCTGTAACCTCTACTGCCAAACTGATGTACCACAGAACATGAAGGGAAATGATTTTGCTATAAAATGGCTCCACTAGTAGTTGTGCTATTTTAAAGCACAGGTGTATCAACTATAGGAAGCGTACACTGTTG